CAGCCAGACCAATTCACTAGAAAATGATGGCTTCTATGTCTTTAGGGGGTGTTCCTCATTTTCTATAGTGGCTGTGGTGTCTCGACCAACACCTGGTACACCCAAATCCTCAGACACTGCCATACACAGAGTTTGGTAGCTGTTGTTCAATCAACTTAGCTCGTGTATGCTTTGTTTGCTTTGGACGTCCTCACAACATTTATATGATGTGGGAGAAAGCAGGATCAAAGCAGGACCCGCTAAAGAATGACAATCACACGTCAAGGCACCAGAGCATTTACTAGAAAATGCCAAGCGCGGGTTCAAAAAGAAGACGCGCCAGTCACGGGTCCAAGGGTGTGATTGGAATTTGGGGTCATTTTCTAGTGACTCACTAGATTATGCCAATCACGGGTTCATGCAGCTGAGTTCCTCATTTTCTAGGGAGCTGACATTCATCATTCCCCAGGAAATCACTAAAGAATGGGTAGGACTGATCCCTCCATGTGATTTTCATGGGGGATGTATGTTATATTCTATATATGTAAATAATGAGATGTGAGATCCAGTTGTACAAAAAAATATATATATTAATATGGTATATATATTTATATATATTCCCTTCTAGATCTTCTAGAAAAGGGCATCTATCTATTTTTTTCAAGATTTTGGTTTGTTGTCCCATTAGCGCCCAGGTCCCCCAGGTCTGAGTTTCAACGCCTCAGGTGGTGAAGGGCTTGAAGTGGCCCCTGGGCATCGCTTCAATTGGAGGAAAGTTGCTGGTGACGTTGGACGAAGGCATCGTGGAGCTGAAGGAGGGCAGCTTCAGCTCCTGGAGCAGCTGCTTTACTTGCAAGGGTTGCAAGTAGGTCGATGTTTTACCCTGGCCCTAGCTGGCCCTATTACAGACCGGTCATGAGTAGTCGGTGGTAGCAGGTATAGAGGCGGAAGCACCTAGGGGAACAATGGCTACAAGTCTGTTGCTGCCAAAATGGTCAGCTTGTTGACTGCGTTGAATTCCAACTGAGGCAAGGGGGACACAGGATTCCTTTGCCAGGGTGACGGACGGATCTTGGTGGCCAGTGGTGGAGACGGTCACGTTTGGTCCTTTGACCCTGCCTGCGACGCGCACTGCAAGGGCCATGTAGTCTGGAATTCCACCGGCACCGGTGCAAGATCGGGTGGTGCCATTGCCTACATGGCGCACCCCGGCCCTAGGGCTATCTTCGTGTGAGATCAGAAGGGCTATGGTTTGGGGCCCAATGAGGGCGTGTATACAGATTTTCCACCGTCCTCGGGGCAAAGTGTGAGGGGTGACTGATCAGTTTTGGACTCCGCCGGAATCCTTCAGCTTTGCTTTTGTACATGCATATTACATGCGTGTATAGACTGGGCCACGACTTGAAGGCAGCGGAAACTCGAAGGCAGCGGAGACTTTGCATCTCCAAGATTGAAAGAAATTGCCCCCCAGATCCGATCCATTTGGATCCAAAACCATTTGAGCATCGTTGTTTGTGGCATGGCCCCGAGCCAATCATAAACACTTCTCATTGAGCTTGTGGTCACGAGCCAATCTTCCGCTTCGTTGACCACTGTCATGGGTCACCGCAGTCCAGTCCCCTTTGAGGCCAGAATGACCCACATTTCTTGCTCCCAAATTGAACGCACAGAAGTGATTTGATAACGGAACGGCATTCTTGCCCCGTGGACTTGCTCGGCCCACCGCCACTTCTACTGCCGCCGGTTGGTCTGGTGTAACAATGCAAAGAGAGAGAGAGAGAGAGACGTTGCGTGACAAACTCCATCTTCCCTCAAAGAACGACGAAATCCGATTCATCCACAACACGGATTGATCATTTCAATCTGTTATATATATATAGGCGGTACTGTACAGTATTCAATATATATGCCACATACCCGTTGGAAGGTATGGGACAGTACTGTGTATTGTATGAATCATATGTAATCACTGGATCCGCTATGGCGCCTTGAGGTCTGCCATGGCATGACCAGTCCGAGCAGCTTGGCCAGCGGTGGGAGCCGGGTTCGTGGTCCGAGACGCTCTGCGCTGCACCGACACGGAAAGGATCGAGTTAGGTCACCAAATCCTGGGAAAGACACATCAAGAACAGCCGATGATTGCAAGTGAGGTCAAAGAACGATGTGAACAAAAGGAAGCTTGTCTACCCCCCAAGCTCGCGTTTCTTCTTCTATTGGGCTGCACCCAGGATTGCACCCTTCCATAATGCAGATTCTTTCTCGATTCTTTCTCCTTTGTACCATTCGCACGAAACGTTTCAATAAACCATGCAGTGCGTCGGTTTGAGCTTGCGGAAAGACTGTGCGCGATGGACTCCGCACACGACGACAGTGCCGGCTCAAGCCACAGGGGCGCTTTGTCTTAGGGACTCAGGGGAGATCGACATGGAGATAGGCAGGGAGGGCAGGAAGCGACGTGATGGGGTTCCGATGAACATCGGGAGTCATATTCCGATGGACATGGGCTTTCGTTTGAAGAAGCCGGCGCTCGGGCTTGGCTTGGAGAGATGTGACCTGAATTTGGTACAGTTGGTGTATTTGGGGAGAGACCATTGCCATCCATTGCCCAACAACTACTAGGACTGGTCTCTATTGTCCGAATCTTCCGACTGTATTGGCTCAGAAAAACACCCAGGCTCTGTATTCTCAAGACAGACCCTGGTTACTCCATTAGGCACGGCAGGCATCGGCAGACCCATGTTGCTCCGTTCACTTCCCTTCCAGCGCTTGGTTGAAGACATTGTTTTCAAAGAGCAAAACCACGACCGACCACGACCACTGCTCGGCACATCATGGCACATCATGGCACCAGTTCGGCAGCTCTCATCCGATCCGTCTCTCGTTTAGCCACAGGAGAGTGGACCTCCAGTCTCACCCGATCCGACGAACGTGGCGAGTCGACTCACCACGGCACCGGGTTCCCCGGAAGCTGCTGAAGCTCTCACCGGATTCCCCGTGGCCGGAGGTGTTCCCTTCGCGACGCGCCTGGCCTTCTCGGCCGGAACGGTGCAGCGCGACGTGCAGCGCTTGCAGCCGCGCCACGGCGCCGCGAGCCGAAGCGCGCAGGCGGCCGAAGCTGGAGAGAGCATTTGGTTAGGACTCGAAGGATTGTGGTTTGAAGAAATCTCTCAGAACTGGGAGTGTTGAAGTGTTTGGGCTGAGTTCCAGCGTTAGAGAGCAAGATGATTCTGCAGTTTGACTCCAACCGTACCCTTTGCATGAATGCTGCACTGGTGAAATTCTCAGGCACGGTCATCAGGCTTCCATCATCGAATTCAAGAACCCCCAGACCGGGCGAGGGGCGAACCAGTGAATTTGCCAATGTTCCGATGTGCTTTAAACCTGCCAGTGGTCCCGCTGCCAGTGGTCCCAGCACAAGAAACAATCAAGCAAAACAGCATTCGGGCATGGGAGGGTTGCCACTCTTTTATGGTCACCAATGCACCACCCTGCCCTGCATGTAAATATTGATTTTGTAAAACTAAGTTGCATTATATACATACATTTATACTCTTGGATAGTTCTCGCGGTTACCTGCACATGTTTCTATCATTAGTCTGTTCAAGTTCAGAGCTGCAAACATATTTTGGCCTTTGAGTGATGCCTACCCTCCCAAAAACATAGATTTGAAAAAACACCACCAAAACCAGTTAGGGAGAACCCAAGACGCATCGATCCCAACGCTGTGATTTCCCAACCAGTTAGGGTAGCACCTCAGGTGCCTCAATCTCTTCGCTCTCGAAGTGATGCCATTGGCATTGTCTCGCTGGCACTGGGACTTCGAGTGCGAGACCTAGACTAGTCTGCCACTGCGGGCGGAATCACAAGCATGCACAAGGGGATGTGCAGATCTCGAAAAAGCATGGCACAAGCAGGAAGCACCTGGTGCAACCAGTGGTGCAAGCAAGAAGTGTCATTTTCGGCCGCCGAGCTGTTGTTTGGGCAGCCAGACACCTGTACTTGGCTCAGACAGTTTTAGCTGCAAGTGCTCAAGTAAGTTCCGGTTTGCACAGCCGCTTGCCCCCAACAAGCTCACCGAGTGTTTCTGTAGAACCGGAGTTTCCTTGGTAGAACCTCGCTGGCAGCCCGCTGGCGAATTTCATCCACACACGATACTACCGGAAAAGTCTGCAGATTCCCTTCTCCCGGCGCCTTCCCCCTACATGTCAGTGTTGGAGTCCCATGGAGACCGTCTTATGGATGTGGCCATCATGCTCACCTGGCTTCAGATGCTTCGGTCTCCTAACGTCCTAGATCACTCTGAAACATAGACATAGGCGGCCTTTTTACAAGGCCACCATGAAAGGTTGGGATGGTCATGGATGACCAACGAAAGGACTTGAAACTGGTCAGGAGTCAGGAGTATCATCACATACCTCTCGTGTTCTTATTGTACATGTTTTTGGGAAACAATAGGGGGATTGCAACACAAACGGTAGGGGTGATGTATACCTAAGGCTTGGACACCGATTGGGGATAGCCAACATGTGTGAATCAACTCTCTCTGCATTATGAGAATTTGCACCGCACACTTTCTGCTGCAGGCTGGCGTACGGGGGCGCTGCAGATCTTCCGTTCGCGCTGGTGATGACTTGCGGTCCTTTCTGCCACAGAACTCAGCGAGCTCTTGCGTCAGGGTCGAAAGGTCAAAGGATGCGCATCTCGATGCTACTGTAGCGATGGCCTCCACCCTAGTAGCGATGGCCTCCAACCTAAGAACGATGGCCTCCATTCCAAGAACGATGGCTCCCTAGTAGCGATGGCCTCCAACCAAGACTCATGAAGACCCCCCAAATTTGCGACTTCAAGGAATGCGTTTCGATGTGTTTTGCAATTGAAATTGGCTAAGATTCCTCAATGGTGTCATGTCCATGTCGCTCCAAACATCCTCAAAATCACGTTGCAAAAAAACACCGCAAAACACTTGGGTTCTGCCCGTCGAAATCACGTGGTGCCGAGTCGAGAGTCCATACCGAGGCTGGGAGAGGAGCCCAAAGAAAAGGTGCGTAGCAGTATGGGTGGTTTGCTGGAGGTTCTTGAAGCTGCCTTCCGCCAATGAGATGAAAGGGGGTGGTGGCGTTCTTTGTGTGCTTAAGTACTGGGAAGCAGCGTTGGAGCTGCTTCTTGAGAGAAGTCTGGATTCCATAGGACATCTACCCAAGCTGTGCAAGGAAAAGCCAGCCGCACCTGCTGAGCCAGAAAAACCCGTACCTTGGCTTTTTTGTTTGGTCCAATCTTGATGGGTTGTAATGTCTTGAAACAGCGCAAGCATGCATCGCAACCAACCACAGAAAGCTCAGCTAGTTCAAGGCGCTGTCAATGCAAGTTGAGAGCTCAGACTTGAGGCAAAGCCGGCAAGTACCCCTGCGCCAAAGGCTGCTGCATCCTGGCTTGGAATTTGTTTACAAGCTGCTGACAACAGGGAGCAAGGTATATCAAATCCAATAATCAC